CTGGGGCCGCCGGGCGCCGCTTGGCCAGGGCCGCGCCTCCCCGGAGCTCTCCTCCTCCTCCCCCCAGCTTACCTGCTGCTGCCGCCCCTGCCTGCCCCTGCTTCATTTCGAGCTTCGCGGGAAGCAGGGGAGCAGGGGGCGGAGCGTTCAGGGGAGGGGAGGAGGGGGGAGACAGCTGCGGGGCCGGCGGAGCGGTAAGGCTGCAGGGGATGGGGGGAGCCGGGAAGGGGCTTTGGCTGCCCAGCGGCACTTGGCCGCTGCTTTTCGATCTATAAATAGCCGGCGGGGGAAATCCCGGACATTTTTTAGATTTTTAAAAATCCCCCCCGGATGGCTATTTATAGAACGAAAAGCCGGACATGTCCGGGGAAATCCAGACATATGGTAGCCCTAATTTACAGCAGTGTCACTGAGAGCAACATTTGCTCCAGTCCCTGATATTAAGAGACAATATAAAGGCATCCCTGAGAGCCGGTCGTTGCTGTCAGCAGAGATCTCTGGGGTGAAAGGGCCTGTCTCTCACTTCACACAGCCGGGACATTTCTCCTTCAGCAGTGAGGGCCCATGAACCACATGTAAAGCGATCACTCCACAGCAGCTCCCAAAACTGAGCCTTCTGCTTAAATGACAGGGAATAACTCCGTCTCTTTCCATTTCAGACAAGGCGATCACACAGCTAGGTAAGAGGACGTGTTTCCATGTCACATTTCACATCACTCGGTTCCTTTCTATTTGCCAATGACCCTCTCCCAGAACAGCCTCTCCTGTGGGAGCGAGTTCCCTGTGTTTGCCAGGCCCCTGACCATGTTTGTTCCTCTTCCCTTGCAGAGTTCAGGAGGGCTCGGAGCTACATGGGTGAGTGGGGCTGGGAGGGGCTGAGCAGACGCTGCACTGGGGTTAGTGGTATCGGCATTACATAGCTGAGCTGGCAGAGGTGTGGGGTCCCCATGGGGCAGGTGGGGAGGGCGGGCGCTGGCTGCAGAGCCGTGGGGCTGGATGCCATGTATGGTCCTGAACACGCTGCTCTGAGCTGTAAGTCTCACCCACGGGCAGGTCCCTCACAATCCCCCCTCAGCTAGTCCTGACGCCCCCCCCATCTCCCTTTGGCCCTTCAGTGATGATCCATCCCTACCCCGTCATCTGCCCCTACAGCCCCACTCAGCCCTCCCTCTGCAGCCTGCACAGTCTTCACTCCCTGGACACCTTCCATGGCCACCCAGAGCCCTAATGCCTCCCAGGGACAGATCCCGTGCAGGGGGGAGTGAGAAGATGCAAGGAGCCCAACCCCCACTATCCCTCCCCTCACCTCTCCACCAGCTCAGGGACCAGGCCCAGCCACAGCCTGGAGCTCCAGCTAGTCACCCCAACCCTTAACACTCTGTCCTTCGCTCCGGCTGTGCTGGCTGGAATCTCTCCTGTGGGATCATAGGGTCCCTGGCTGACCTGTGGCTAATGGGGTTATTCTGGTTTTTCTCCCTAGTCCTCATCACCCTGGATCCAGATTACAAACACCCCGAACTCACCGCGTCTGCGGATGGCAGAACAGTCCAGCACAACCCCCCATCACCAGGGCTGGCTGCCCCCTCTGCGGCTCTGATCGCCGTGGGGAGGGAGAGTTTTGTGGCCAGGAAGGATCACAGTGGCGGTAGTGGATTTTGCAGGGGGTACTGGGAGGTGGAGGTGGGGGACAGTCCGGACTGGGAGCTGGGGGTGCTGAGTGAGTCTGTGAGGGACAGAGTGAGACAGGAGAGGCTGGAGAAACTCCCTGAGGGGGGGTGCTGGGCTCTGGGGAGATCTGGGGAGCGGTATCACCCCAGTGAGGCCGACACAGTGATCCAGAAGTGGGGTGTGAGGCTGACAGTGGTTGGGGTGTATCTAGATCTAGAAGGGGGGAGTCTCTCATTTTATAGTGTCAGTTCAATGGCCCTTATCCTGGAGATTCCTGTGGAAACTTCTGAGAGATTGTTCCCGTTCCTCAGCCCTGGGCACGCTGCAGGGAGGAAACCCCTCAGCATCTGCCCCCCCAGCGACTGGGATTTCCGCCAGGAATTAATGGTTAGTGGGTCTGTTAGTCAGGGAGATCCAGGGGCAGGAAACAACACAGGGCCACCTGCAACGGGAGAAACAGCCCCAGCGCCTGGAGACAAGCAAGTGAAAGAAAACAGCGCAGGACCAACTGTGAGAGAAAATGTCCAAAAGCTCCTGCCCACCAACTGGTTCTACAAGTTGTGGTATGGGCATAAAACAGAGCAGGAGCATCCACAACTGCAAACAGCCCCCAAAGAGAAGGGGAAAAAGAAACATCAAAATCCTGAGGTCTGAACCCCTCCCGTGGGGCAAAGGGAATCACACAGAGAAAAACGCTCAGAACTTGACAACCGAGGGGTCTCTGGAGATGACTCTTGTTCCAGGGATACCAGGGCCAGGAAATAAGATGGGGGAATCAACCCAAGCGCCGACACCTGGGAAAGAACCTCGCCCCACAGGGAATGCGGGGAAATGGTGACACGTCAGATTTTTCCTCCCCCTGAACTCAAAGGAAAACCGCAGCGATTCGTGATAACACTTTGACCCGACCCCCAGTTACATCGGAATGTGCTGATTGGAGGGAACTGCGTTAACGCGACTGTTAAATGTAGGAAATTCAATACACACCAGTCGAGGGATGCAAAGGGGAAGGGTCTCGCAGTGGCACTGACTCACTCCCATTGCAGAGACACACACACTGCTCCTGCCGGCCTCAGGCACAAGGCAGGGGCTTTACGGGATTAAGGCAGGGGCTTTAGGGGCTGCAGCCCAGGGCCCCGGCTCAAGGGGGACCCCGCAAAAATAAATCACAGGGAGCGATCTCTGGGGCGCTCAGGCTGCCTGCCCTGGCCCCACACTGCTCCGCTGCTGGCACGTCTCTGAGGCCTCTGGCCGGGGGGGAGGGAGAGGCGGTTCCACTCGCTGCCCTCGCGCTGCCCCCGGCCAATGGGAGCTATGGGGACAGCGCTTGCGGGCGTGGGCAGCGCAAGGAGACACACTGTCCTCCTCCCCCAAGGGGCGCACAGAGACGTACCAGCAGCCAGCCGCTTCTGGGAGCGGTGTGGGACTATGGCAGGCAGACAGCCTGCCTGAGCCCTGCCGTGTTGCCAGCCAGGAGCCATCTGTGGTAAGTGCCTCCCAGACGGAGCCTACACCTCACACCCCCTCCTGCACCCCAACCCCCTGCACCAGTCCGGAGCCCCCTCCTGTACCAAACTCCCTCCCAGACCCTGTACCCCCTCTTGCACCCCTATCCCCTGCCCCAGTCCCCTCCTGTACCAAACTCTCTCCCAGATCCCACACCCTTCATCCTCTCTTGCACCCCAACCCCCTGCCCCAGCCCGGAGCCCCCTCCTGCACCCAAACTCCCTCCCAGACCCTGCACCCCCTCCTGCACCCCAATCCCCTGCCCCAGTCCCCTCCCGTACCAAACTCCCTCCCAGGAAAAATACTTGTATACAGGGGACCCACAAAATCTAATAGCCCTGGGCACACAGGAGAGTTAATCCGGCCTTGCTCAGGCAGTGCGAGTGGGTGACAGGATCAGGCCCTCTGTTGTCAGACTGGATTGTGATAGCACCCTGAGGGCTGAGCAGCACCCTGAAGGCTGAAGCCGCCTCCCAACTGCTGGAGCCCTCCCCCGGGCTCTAGCAGGGCTGGCTGGTCTCACGGGGCAGCAGGGATGATGGACGATCCTGCAGAAGCTTCTCAGAACAAGGATGTGGGGAAGTTCAGATGATGTTGGAAATTGTAGTGAGGGGGCTGGGGTGCAGGAGGGGAACAGGCTGCCAGCTGCAGTGTTGTGAAGTTTCATGGTATTTGTTGTTTCCCTTAAAGCCCCAGCTCCTGGAGCCCTGGGATTGTGGGAGAATCTCAGCTTTTGTTTAAAGCAAATAAAAAGTCAGTTTCTAGCCCATGGCTGTGGTGTGGAGCTGTAAAGTGTGACCCCAATGCTCCTGTGCGCCGTGTCTGGCTTTACTGCTGGGTGTGCTGCATTTAAACCCTAGGGCCTGGCTGTTGGTTTAGTGCAAGACGTGATGGGACCCAGCAGCTCATGGGGGGCTGGGAGCCCTGGGCAGTGCCGCCCACAAACGCTGGGTCCGCGCTCGGTAAAAGGTGTAAGTGCAATGAGCTGGCTGGGCCCAGGCAATGCTCTCGGCATCAGATCCCAGTGGAGACAAGGTCGCCTTGGTGCCGGGTTATTTTACCTCCCGGTAGCTGGTGGAGGGGAACCCCAGGGAGGTGTTAACCATACTTCATAGCACAGGAAATATGCCCCAGCCTGGCACACTCTGTTCTGGCTACTCCCAGCCCTGGAGGTGTTTTGCCAGGCACTGGAGAGGAATCGCCTGAGCTTGACCATGCTGAGCTTCCAGGAACTGCAGCCAAAAGCCAGCAACCAGAGGGACGAAATGAAACCAGTGCGAGCTAGAGGCATTTGCAAGAGTAATGGGGCCATTCCTGGAGCCCCCGAGATCCCTCCAGACCCCATTTCCACTTTACTCCCTCTTCCTCCAGTCCCTTCCAGGCCAGATCTGCCCTCCAAGGAGAACTCCTTCCAGGCCTCATCATCGCTGTACAGCCCATATCCAAGGTCACCCATGCATATCCCAGGCACTGCCCCCGGGGACCCATGGGTAGAGCGGCTCCAAAGGCTTGTCCTTGCTGAAAGGGGGGGGGGGGAGGGATTCTCAGAAATTGGGTGTGTCTTTGGGATTTTTCCTTTTCTTTGGAGAAAACATTTTTAACATTTTGACAGGCAATTCCAGCCCAGAGCAATAGTTGGTGTTGATTCGGGTTTTGAAAACAAAAACACCTGGAAATTTCAGGTTTTGTTTCCCCTTCTTGTTCTCATTTTCAGGGCTGAAGGCAGCTGCAGCAGTGAGGACGAGGGGGCTGGGTTCCCTTTGTGTGACAGGCCCCCTCTGGTTCCCTGGTCCTGCCGGTCACGTGCCTCTGGGGTGGCTCCATTTCTCTGTGCTGCCATTATGGGGCGGGGGGGGGGGAGGAGGGATGAAGCATCTGAACCATCCAATGAGGCTCTGCAGGACCTCGCCTGTCTCTGAGACTCAGCCAGCGGGAGCTCTGGGATCTCTGTATCCATCGATCTGGAGTATGGCCAACACAGAGCCCAGAGCGCGCATCCCGCCAGGCCCACCTACACCTGCCCCGATCTATGTCACCCCCCAGAACAGCAGTTTGAGGCTCCTCCAGGTGTCACCATGGATCACAGCATCCTCCCAGCCAGAGGGGAAAAGCTTTCACAGCCCAACAGGCCAGTGCCTATTAACCCCTAAGAGGTCGCAGGGGGCCTCGTGTAGGGCACAGAGCAGGAGGGAGGGTGGCAGATTCCTCAGGGTGCTGCCATGCAGGGGTAATCCCAATGAGCCTGTTGGGGTTAGGGACCAGCTCCTCATGGCCAGAGTGGGCCTGGTGCTTTACAGACTCCAAACACTTCATGGTTTTATCCTTTTCAGGTGCCAACACAACAGAAGATTACCAGGGGCTTTTGGTCTCAGCCTGGTGGGACTCACTCACTTTCCCGCACTCTGTGAGGGCGGCTCTGTCACTGCTCAGACCCCCAGCTCTTGGGCATCAGAGTCAGGCTCCCCTGGAGAACGTCAGAGACGGAGAGAAAGAGTCACAGAGACACCAGCTGGCCCAGAAATATCACAGTGTGAGAGATTCTTCAATCCCACATCACAGCCTGTGACCCCCCCGACCCCGCTGGGCTGCTAGCTCAGCGTCAGGCCGGGGAGAGCTCAGTGCTGGGCGGGGAAAGAGACATCTGCACAGGGGACTCTGCAGATGTTCAGGGCGCTGTCAGATCATCCTGTGGTTCCCTCTGCACAGAGCAGCTGGACTGGGTGTGCAGAGAGTTGCTGAGCAGAAGCCGCAGCTCACAGCACCAACTCTCCTCTCTTCGCTCTCCTGAGCAGCACCTGGTCGCTCTCTAGTCCTGCAGTGTCTAATTCTGCCCGGGGGTTGGGCCGGGGGAGGGAGGCAGGACTCAGCCCAGGGTCCCGGCCCAGCAGGGGGTGGGACATTCTGAGATCAATGAAGCCCCTGCAGCCTATTTCCCAACCTGTGTCTCTGACACTTGCCCTGTGCTCTTGGGCCCATCCCAGCCAGGCTCTCCCCACACTGGGACACAAATAGCCCCTGTGCGTTGGCTTCCAGGGCCAGAAGGGACGTTAGCTCAGCCAGTCTGACCTGGACAGCCCAGAGACTCCCCACAGCTCCCTGCAATGAGCCAATAGCTTGTGTGGGACCAAAGCCTCTCCCAGGAAGGCTCCAGCCTGGCTCTGACACCATCAGGGGATGGAGAATCCCCCCTGCCCTGGGTGGTTTGTCCCAGTGTTAATCACCTGCCTGGCTAGAAATTGGGGCCTGTTTCTCACTGGGACTTGTCTGGCGTCAGCTGGGCCCAGGCTCCCCAAAGCTCAGCCTGTTCCCAGCGTTAGATGGGGGAAGGATGTGATGGGGCAGGGTTTGTGGGAGTTTTGGGTGAATAGCCCCAAGTCACTGGAGCCCTGGGCTGTGGGCTCAGCTCTGACATAGCATTGTCAGCCCTAGAGCTCAGAGCCCGTCACCAAGGGGGGCTGGACAGGTGGGGACTGGCTGCCCCAAGTGCCCCCGTGAGGGAGCAGGGGGTGGATGGAGCCCAGCTCCCCTAACGCCTGGGGACTGGATGGCGCCACCTCCCCGGAGGCAGCAGCGTGTGGCCCAGAGGTGACAACTAAGGGTTCCTCAGGCGACATACGGCCACAGCTGGTGTCCCAGCGGGTGACTTCCCAGTGCCTGTGCAGGGCACGGCTCACACACGAGGGCAGGCGGCTGGGGGCTGCGTGGCCCCGCTCTGCACGGAGAAGCAGCTGGCCTTTCTCACCTGCTCCGGGTCCTTCAGCACCTGGGGCTAGATTCAGGAGCCCAGTGATGGAGAAGGGCCCCTCGTGGGACTGACAGATTGCGCAAGGGAGTGAGGTGCCTAACTCTCATTGGCTGCCAACAGGAGTCAGGTGCCCAGCCTGCCTAGGAGCTCTACTGAATCCCACTATGTGCCTGGCTTCAGCGCTAGGTGCCTAAATGACTTTGTCATGCTGGCTCCTGGTGCAGAGAGGTAGGATGGCCTAGTGGACAGAGCACTGGCCTGGAAATCAGGTGTTCTGAATCCTGTTCCTGGCTCTGCCCTGCTGGGTGACCTTGAGCAGATGATATTCCCACCTTCCTGTGCCTCAGTTTCCCCATCTGTTTCCCTCCTGCGTAAAGCACTTTCACATCTATGGATGAGCAAGGTATGATTATTGTTAAACCCTCCAGCCAGGCCAGGCCTGTGCTCCCCTCTGTTACTAAATCAGGGGAGTGTTTTTACTGATGTATTTGATGTGTGTTTGATTCTCAGGCTTCCAGCACTAAATAAAGACGCTGTGGCTGGCGGGGTGTATGTGTATGGGACAGGAAACGGGGAGCGGTGACGCTCAGACGTGAGGACAGGACGGGGCAGAGCAAAGAGGGGACGGAACATCCCTGCTGCCTCAGCCATAGGTCCCTGATGGGGATTCAGACAGAGACAGTGTCTGGGTTCACAACCCAGCCCTGAGGGGCTGACGGAGACTTTGAGAAGGGAGAGGAGCCTTCCACCCTGAGCCCTAAGACGGAGCACGGGGGAGAGGGGGGAGGTTGTGCTCTCCCCTCAGTGTAAGGAGCAGAGGGGGCAGGAGTCACTGCAGATTGTCCCCTCCTGACCCCGTCAAGAGCAGAAGCTGCTGGGCTGTTACCACCCTGATCCAGTCCCACCCACTGTCCAGATGATCGTGTCTCTGTGCCTCTTGCTGCCCGGTGAGTATCTGGGACCCTGCGCTAATTCGTAGGGCGTTGGGAGGAAACAGAACCGAGAGCAGCCCCTGGCCCAGACTGTTGGCAAATCCCCTTTAGTGGCAGGAGGGTTGTGCTGTAGCAATGTTCGGGGGAATGGGACTGTCCCAAACCAGCACAGGGCCAACACTCGGTGCTGGGGATGGCCGGGGCTAGCAGTCAGCCCAGGCTGGGATTACAGTCACAGCTTCATAGAGTTTAAGGCCAGGAGGGACCATTAGCCCACCCAGTGTCTGACCCCCTGTTAGCCCAGAGCAGAGAACTTCCCCCAGCTCCCCTGCACTGAGCCCAGTCACTTGTGTTTGACTAAAGCATCCCCCAGAAAGGCCTCCGGCCTGGCCGTGACTCCCCCTCTTCCCTGGGGAGCTGGCGCTGGGGGTTAATCCCCCGCACGTGGAGAAACTGCTGCCTCCTTTCTCACTGGAGTTTGCCCAGACTCTGCATCCAGCCCTTGGGTCTGGTTCTGCCTGTCTCTGCTGCACTGAGGAGCCCGTCAGCACCTGGGGTTTCTCCCCTGGAAGGAGATTGGACACCGTGACCAGCCCAGCTGTCTGACCAGCTCCACACATGGAGCTCCCCCGGCCTCTCCTGTGAGGCCTCTTCGCCAGCCCTCGTAGCATTTTTCTGGCTCTGCACCTGCTGCACTTTTCCAACAGCCTTTTAAACTGGGGCTCCAGAACCAGGCACGGGATCCAGTATCGGCCTCACCAAAGCCACACGCCGGGGGAAATCCCCTCTCTGCTCCTGCTCCCTGCTCCCCTCGTTACACAGCCCAGGGGCACATCAGCCCTGTTCCCCAGCGGCACCCTGGGAGCTCATGTCCAGTTTCTTGTCCCCTGGCACCTCTAAATCCTTTCCCGGGTCCTTGCTGTCCCGGCCCAGGCCCCAGGCTGCAGGTCTGGCCGGCGTTCCTTGTTGGGAGCTGTGACCTGGCATTTGACTGTATTCAAACCCCTGGTGTGTCACTGGGCCCAGCTCTCCACGCCAGGCACAAGGAGTCAGGACGGGCTGGGCTCGGGGGAGGATGCTCATGGGATGGCAGCTCAGGCTGGAGGCAGAGAGAGCAGGGAGGGCCATTGCCATTGCGGGGATGAAGGATTATCGGGGTCCAGACCCAGGGCTCCTTGTTACCGGCAGGCCAGAGACACTAAGCTGGGATCCAGGCTGGCTCCGATTCTGGATTCCCCCGGAATTCGGGGGTTCTGGGGCTCGGGGTCAGACTCTTTATAGAGTCAGGCCCAAGTCACACAACTTGGATCCAACCCCAGATCTGTGTTTTTGGGAGAGGACCCAGGGGTCAGGGCTCTGCACAGGGCCTGGCACAGCCTCATGGAGCAGGCGGGGGTGCCCCTGGTGGGACGGGAGAAGCTGAAACCGGGGCCTATGCTCATGCGGGGAGCAGAGATCCCATCAACTATTCAGGGTGTCTCACAGCAGGGGAAACTCTAGCCCGGTACTGAACACACGTCACCTTTCTGTTCCCAGCACTGAGTCCCAGCAGCCAGGAGATCTGCTCAGCTCCCGGTGAGTCCATCTGTCTGTCTGTCTGTGCCAACTCTACCCATGGCATTTACTCCTCTGTCTCCAAGGCATCCAGCCACACCCCTTGGGCTGCTTCTTGCTCAGTGCAGTGCCAGCGGACGGGGCTGTATGGGATCCGAGCAGGGTGAGCAGGTCTCCTGACCATCCCCTCCCAGCCGTGTTGCCTGTCAGCTCTGTTCTGTCCAGGGGCCAGTGTGACACGTGGGTGAGAGAGTCATGTCCACAACCCATCCCACACCTGGGCACTGGCCCTGGTAAGCAGAGAATTCCACAGCTTTAACCCCAAGGTATTTACCTTCCCATGGCCCCAGCTTCCAGCCCCTCGCCTCTCTCCTGGCTGTACTGCCCTGACTGCATCAGTGGGGTGTCCGCACTGGGGCCTTTTGTTCTAGGAGAGTGCGCAGCACCAGACAATGGGAACCCAGCCCAGCCGAGCCCTTAAGCTCTTATACAACCCAAATTAACCCACTTAATAAAGCTTCCGGTCACCAGAGAGAGCTCGTCCCCACATTGGCCCAGCTGGCTGTAATCAGAGCCTCCATGTGAGACATGGCACAGATCCATCTGCCGTTTACCTCCTGCCCCACCCACAGCGCTGGGCACCACTGACAGTTCTGAACCATTCCCCTTCCCAGGCACTCTCTGGGGCCCCATCCTCTACCTGAGCCAGACGTCCGCCCGGCCAGGGGACTCCGTGCAGCTCCAGTGCTCTGTGTTCTCCAGGGCCCCGGCCACCCGCATCATCTTCTGTAAGGACGGGAAGGAGGTTTCATCCCGGAGGGGCATATTGCGAAAACTCACCTACGACTTTGACCATGTGGTGTCTGGGGGTAGCACCGGGAATTATTCCTGTGGGTACGAGATCAAGGACAGCAACAACCGGGTGATCAGATCCCAGCTCAGCCCTGCCCAGCACCTAAGTGTCACTGGTAAGGCATGTGTGTGTGTGTGTGTGTGTGTGTGTGTGTGTGTGTGTGTGTGTGTGTGTCGTATCTCAGCCCTGCCCAGCAACTCAGGGAAAGAGGAGTTCACGGCACAGTGAGAACAATTACATGAAAACCCCCTGAAAATACAAATGCTGAAATTCATCCATTTTCAAAACCTGAAATTAAAAATTTCTAATAAAACATCTTTGTTCAAAGCTTGTCACAGGAAACTGCCCCCGCCCCCCACCCATCTCAGCTTGGATGGCTCAGCCCTGGCAGCTGGGAGATGGGAACATCATAGAAATGTCAGGCTGGAAGGGACCTTAAGAAGTCATCGAGACCAGTCCCCAGCACTGAGGCAGCACCAAGTAAACCTAGACCATCCCTGACAGGGGGTTTGTCCAACCTGTTCTTAATAAACTCTGACAATGGGGATTCCACAACCTGCCTTGGATACATGTTCCAGAGCTTAACTTCCATTGTCATTAGAAAGTTTTTCCTTCTATTGAACCTAAACCTCCCTTGCTGCAGATTAAGTCCATTACTTCTTGTCCTACCTTGAGTGGGCACTGAGAACAATTGATCTCCATCCTCTTTATAACAGTGCTAAATGTATTTGGAGACTGTTATCAGGTCTCTCCTCAGTCTTCTTTTCTCAAGATCAAACATGCCCAGTGTTTTTAACCTTTCCTCCTAGTTCAGGTTTTCTAAACCTTTGATCATATTTGTTGCTCTTCTCTGGACTCTCCAATTTGTCCACAACTTTCCTAAAGTGTCACACCCAGAACTGGACCCTGTACTCCAGCTGAGGCCTCACCAGTGCAGAGCAGAGCAGGACAATGACCTCCCATGTCTTACATACAACATTAGCCCTTTTCACAACTACATCTCACTGCTGACTCAGATTGAGTTTGTGAGCCACTCTAACCCCAGGCCCCATTCAGCAGCACGGCCACCAGCCAGTTATTGCCCATGGTGGAGTTGTGCTAGGGCAGCGTATGGGCCTGGAGTGGGGCCATGCTCTGCTCTGATCTCTTGTGTATTTATTGCCTAGGTGATAACTCCAGCAGCGGTGGTGTCGGGGGTTCCTCCCCACAAGGTAAATGCTTCTGAGGCATTTCTTTATTCTGGGGTCTCTATTTAGGGAAAAGTGGAGCCTGAGCTGGGCAAAACCCAGTCTGAGGGTAATTGCCGTGACGATGTCTCTTGTGTATTTATTGCCTAGGTGATGACTCCAGCAGTGGTGGTGTCGGGGGTTCCTCCTCACAAGGTAAATGCTTCTGAAGTGTTTCTTTATTCTGGGGTCTCTATATGGGGAAAGGTGGGTCCTGGGCTGGGCAGCTTCCAGTCTGAGTGTGATTGCCGTGATGATGGCTCTTGTGTATTTATTGTCTAGGTGATGACTCCAGCAGTGGCGGTATCTGGAGTTTCTCCCTGCAAGGTAAATGCTTCTGAAGTGTTTCTTTATTCTGGGGACTCTATTTAGGAGAAGGTGGGTCCTGGGCTGGGCAACCCCCAGTCTGAGTGTGATCGCTGTGGCGATGGATGCAGAGGAAACACACAATGACAAAACAAGGTGACAGGCTCGTCCAGTGCGGCACATTCTCCCTGCAGCTCTCCCAGACTTTAACCAGCATTGCTGAGCTGGGCAACATCTTTGCAGGGCAGGAAAATGGCTCTTTCAAGGGGGAATCCCAAACCCTTCTGGTGAGAAAGAGTCTCCTCTGGAGTTCACTGACCCCCTCTGCTAAACCGACAGTCAGTGAATTATTTCCTCCCTCTGCAATCACTGTATTTGGTGTTGTTCTGGCAGGAGGCACCAGAGGCATCATCACACCTGGGCTCACAAGTTCTATCTCTCTGTGTAATTAGTTATTTACACTCTGTGCTCCAGTCCTGGAACAGAGGTGTCACAAACAGCATGCAGGCAAACCCCTCTTTAAGGAATCTCAGCCCAGCACCAGTGCCCAGTTCCCAAGCAGCAACCGTGTCCCAGGAACTGACTGTTTGCCTCAGCCGCCCCCAAAGCACCTGCATCAACAGACCAACACCCAAGGAGTATGCCTGCAAAGGCTGAGTGCAGCGCTTGTATGGCAAGAAAAAATGGTTTAGTAATAGCATGACCTAGTGACTCCTGCCAGGGTGACACTAATATTAGCTGTGCCTCAAGAGCTGCTGGGAACACGGCATTTCTGTCCTGTGAGAAATCCTGGATCAGGATGAAAAGTCAAAATTTCAGATTTTGCAAGGAACAGAAATTCAGCAACATTTTCATTCTGAAAGACTGAAGAGCCTGGTCAAAAAGTTTTGATTTTGAACAAACAGCATTTTCTGATGGAAAACTCTTCCACTGGGTATTTGTAGACCAGCTCTGCACATGGCTCTGCATGCTGTACAGATCTCTGGCCTTCACTCAGGAAAGCTCTCAAGTGTGTGCTCCAGTCCAACCCTATCCAGGACAGCACCTATGTATGTGCTTAACTTTAACCACCTGCTACAGTCCTTAAAATGGCTGTTTAAAGTTAAGTTTGTACCTGGGCGCTGTCCTAAATAGTGATACTTCCCTGAAGCAGGGCAGTTCCCACAGGAATGTTTCCTGCCTTGAGGAGCTCACCCTTAGAGCTGGGGGGAAATCCAGATTTGTTGCCACAGAAAATTGTGAAGAAAACTATTTCATTCAGAACTTGTGATGGGAAATTTCAGTGTTTTGATGAAAAAATATTCATGAAGGTCAACACACATTTTTCATTTGGCCTCATTTTGAGTAGACAGTTTCCTTTCCTGGGGGGTTTTGGAACCAAAATGAGACAAAACTGTCAATTCAAAACTAAACTAAATGCTGTCTTTCATTTCAAAATAATGTTTGTGGAAAGACTAAGATGGTCCTTGCATGTGAATTGTTTAGGGGAAAGTTTCTGATTTCAGTTAAACTGTGTTTTGATTTAAAAAAAAAGTTTGGCAAAAATTTTTTTTTGGAAAAACGTCAAAAAAACTTTACTCACAAAGAACAGCCAATAATGTCGCCCTGCAGATAACCGTGGGGTGAGCTCCTTGGGTATGTTCATGAGGACATAAGGGGTCACTTACCACAGGACTCGGCCAGCTCCAGCCAGTGGGGACTTGCCAGTGGCTGCTTGGAGAGGCCATTCACATCGAGGTTCTTTCCTAGGGCTGGATCTAAACCTGCTATTGGGAATTACAATCCCTGCCGTCGTGGTTCTGGCTGTGGTTCTTTATCTGCTGGGAAAGAAAGGTGGGTATGAGAGTGAGGGCAAGCCAGGTTAGCAAATGTACAGACAGACGTGGCAGAGACAACCCCTTCGACCCCCTGTACCCAGTGTGTCAGCTGGGATGGGGGGAGAGAGATGATAAAAGACACAGTGAAATTGTGGTTTTGGGAGGCTGGCTAAAGAGAAAAATCAAAGAGATGATGAAAGGGATTATCATTATTATTATATTATTTCTATTGCAGTAGCACCCTGGAGCCCCAGTTAGGGATCAGAGCCCCATTGTGCTAGGCGCTGTACATTATTTATTAGGTATGTTACTGTAGTGCCCTGGAGCCCCAGTCAGGAATCAGACCTCCACTGTACCAGGACTGCACAGATCAGTAATGAAGGGGACAATCCTTGCCCCATAGATGGTTATAATCTAGGACTCAGCCAGGAGCATGTGTCTGGATGGAATATCGACACACAGATCACTATTGCTGCAATTCAGGAAGGCATCCGCTAGTCAGGAAGGGCCCGTACGCCTGTACCCATGTGTAAGTGCTTTCTTGAATCAGGACCTAACAGCTCTGAAAGTAGAGCTCTGGACACAGCTCTGTCCTGCCAACCTTTCCTCACACAGCGTCCCCAGCCCCAAACTTTCACAGCACTCAAGTCACCCCAACAATCTCGAGATTGGCTTAAAACTCATGGGATGTCCAACAAGTCACCAGTGTGAGGTCTTTGTATTTGCCGGGGGATTTGATCTTTGAGGGGTCTCTCAGGTCACATTTTCAGACTTTTCTCCCCAAACACGGGGGTTATAAATTTACACTTTTTTTTTTAATGGAAGCCGAGATTCTCAGTGAAGCCCCTGACTCTCAGACCTGGGGCTTTACGTAGAACATGAAATGCCATCAGATTGCCACTAAAATTGTCAGACTTGGCCACAACGCTCCCAGAGCAGTCACTGGGGCTCGTGGAGGAGAGAGCTGGGCTGGGCTATGGGGACAGTCTCTGTGTTAATAAGATGATAAATTTGGGCCGTATCGCTCAGTTTCCATCTCTCTCTCTCTCTCTCTCTCTGCCCACGAGAAAACGTGTCCTCATCTCTGATCACATTGTCTCACTGCTTCCAGTTGCGTCTCTACCAAGGGAACAAAGGTAGGAGGAGATTATTCCCTCTCCCGTCTCATTTCCTTTCTGGGTCCCTTATGTCTGCCTCATGGAAGGGACGGCAGCTGAGTAGCTCAGCTCTCCTGATGCTGGGGGTTTCAGTCTGTTCTGCAGGAATTTTTGAAAAGGCCAGGGAAGGATGAACTCCCTGGTTGTGGTGGCATCTGGGGGTTAAGAGGAGACGCTTTCAGGAAGGGGTTTGCCAGAGTGACGTGTTCCCATCTAATTCACTGGCAGTAGAGTGAACGTGTTGAAAGTGACCCTGCTTCACACTCAGGGGGTGTTGGGGCTGGTCAGCCACAAAGCGACACTGACCGAACCAGCCAGTTCCCTAGAACCGGCTCTGTTCTTCTGGGGCAGGGCTGGGAGTGGCCTGGCTTGGCTGGCAACCAAGGGTCTCCAGTCCATCCAGCTGCTGTGGGTAACACCCAATTATAACTCCATTGGCTGCATCTGGTTTAGTGCCAGGCTCGGCGCGTCCACACACGGACTTGCCCCAAAACACCCACAGTGGGTTCCCAGCTGGACACAGAAAGGGAAAGGTGCATGGGGAGACTAAGGGCAGTTTCCAGGCTCTGCTAGTGTCCAGCCCAGCCTGGATTCTCAGTGCAACGACTCTGCCAATAAAACTGGTGGGGGCACAGGGGATACGACACACAGACCCTGGATACTGGGAGCACTCACCCCGACTCTCAACAGTGTATGTTCCCTGCCTGCCTCCTGTGCCCCATCCTATAGGGCTCCATAGCTGCCTCTCCCCAAATATTCCTTCCCTCCCTCCTCCTGACATATGACCAGTCTCTGCCTCCAAACACCCTGTCACGGAGTATTGGGGGACTCAGGGCCCTGCACCCCCGGCTTCCTGCGATTCACCATGACTCTCAGCCAGCCAGTAAAGCAGAAGGTTTATTTGGATGACAGGAATACAGTCCAAGACAGGTCTTGCAGGCACAGACAACAGGGCCCCCCTCAGTTAGGTCCAGCTTGGGGTCCCAGGGCATCCCAGCCCCCCTCTTGGGGGGGGTCAGAGCCATCTCTGCCTCCCAGCCATCTCTCCAGCCCGCTTCCAGCACTCTGCCTTCAGCGACCCCTCCCACAGCCTTTGTTCAGTTTCCCGGGCCAAGGTGTCACCTGGCCTCCAACCCCTTCCTGGGCTCCCATGCTACACGCCCAGGTATTCGCCCTCGGGCAGACTCCCATCCCCCAGTGCAGACTATCCCAGCCACACTCCCCTGTCAGCATTCACAGACCACAGTAAGAACAGGCCCAGTTCGTCACACCCACCAAGAAAGAAAATTTAAGAATTC